TCAAACGACAAGGCCTTCTTCTTGAGCAATAGGTTCAACCACAAGTTGGTTCATCTTTTCCTTAGAAAGTTAAGTATCATATACTTCATCAAGAATAAGAGTCTCTCACCCATACAAGATGACATCTCTAAACGTTGTACATAATGAATGTTGTAAACATAAAAAGATTAATGTCAAATCGTCTTTGTCATACTCAACTTCCATGACTTTCAAATCATACTTAATTTTCTTAAAGACAACTAATTATTCTTTAACAGAAGCACCTTCTGCCATTCTAGAGCTTCATGTGTAAGAAGTATTTTTATTGATACTAATATCAATAAACTATTCATCATCATTACAATCATCAACATAAAAGAGTTCTACAAATTTTCATTTGCCTTAAATTGAACAATATCTTTCCTTTAAGTTTCACAAGAATATTACTTCTGTATATGTTGGCTATAACATAACTCAAAAATTTCTATGGTATTGAAGCTAACACAAAAGCATGACATTGCCTATGTTAACACTCCATGTTAATATCAAGCTGAAAATTAAATTTCAATCTTGATAGTACTTAGAATGAATGTATACGTCCACATTAGATTTTTACTATAGATTGATAGAAAAGAAAATAGAAAAAGTTGATACACAAAATTTAGTTTTTTAAGGGCATCAAATACATATTTTTTTTGTTAGTTTAATAAACTGTTTATTTTAAAAATATAATCTCATTCTATAAAGCCAATCTAAGCACCCAATTAATCTTATGTCGCATATGAAAGATTAACTACGATAGATTGCTTTTTATGCATTTTTCTGTCATATATATATTTCCTATTGCTTTCATTAATTTGACTGCATTAATCAACCGTTCTTAAAGTTCTTAAATATAAATGAATATTATTACGTTAAAAAATATCTCAATATATCATATGAAATATATACAGGTAATTATTGATAATTTGAGTAATAAATAATATGATATAAGAACATTTGAAGTTTAAATAATTGTCTGTTTGATATTAATTGAATCAGAACAAATATTATAAGCCCTAATTAAACTCACCCTCAAATAAATTCTCAACTAGGGGTGAAAATAAGTCAAGTCACGAACTCGAGCCACCCTCGGCTTGATCTTGATCTTGATTAATTTTATCAAGTTCGAGCTTGAGCTCTACGAGTTTGAGTAGACTCACGAGCCAACTTATTTATTATAAAAGAGAGAAAATAATATTAATTTAAGATAATGTTATAATAAAGTGACAGATATAATGAGCAATTGTTAGAGAAATAATAAGAAAAAATTACTAGAAAAAAGAAAATATTTTTATTTAAAAAAATTTAATACTTTAAAGATAAATTTTTTAAATTTAATATATATTTAAGTATATTTTTTAAATGAGCCGGATCAAGAGTTGATTAGCCGAGTCAGCGCTAGCTTAAGCATGAGTTGTGAATTCTTTGAGCTCTGTTCACGAGCAACTTATTGAACCGAGCTCAAACCCGCTCAAGAATTGACTAACTCGCTTACCTCCCGTGTTCTCAACAGTGGGCCATGTAGTTCATTTGGCCAATATTATGGGCCTAATGATGCTTTTGTTTTTACTTTATTAAGTTGGGCGGATTATCATTACTTTAAAGCCACGGTATTGGTTGCTGAGTTGGAGTGATCCTTTTAAACTTTCCATTCGGACCGAATCAAATAACGCTCTGTCGCGGCCACAACCTAACTTGTGGCCAGAATCATCTCTCCCTGCTGATGTGGCCATTTCCCCCTCTCCTCTATCCGTTAAACCAAGACCCAGAGAAGAACGAGAGAGGCAACGCAACGGTAACAAATCATCGAGAGAGAGAGAGAGAGAAAGAGAGAGAGAGAGAGAGAGAGAGCAAATCCCCGACCTTTTCGCTCTTCGTATTTCTCGCAGGATAAAAGACAAGTGAAGCAAGAAACTGGACACAGAGAGCGGGAAGAAGAAGGAAAAACGAAGCTTCAAAAACAAGAGAAGAAACAGGGGAGATGGCCGAGAGCAGAGATCCTGCGTTCAAACTATTTGGGAAAACCATACATATTTCGGTTGGAGTCGGAGTTTCGGCGACTATTGGAGAGGAGATTGTCGGAGATGATGGGAAGGTAATTGGAAACTGCTTCGATCTCTTGTTTTTTCTTGTTTGATTAAGTGTTTCTGAATGAAACTAATGTTGGAATGATTTATTTAAAATTGATTTCAAGTTTTATTATTTTATTTTTAATTTTAGTTAGTAAGTGAGCTGTTTTGACTGCCAAAGATTGGATCTTGATGTTCTCTTTTTAAGGGAAAATTTTCATTTGGGTTTTACTAATTCCAATGATTTTGTTGGCCTTCATATTTGCCTTGGAAAGGTAGAGCTTCAGGATCTCAAGATGAATTGTTTTGCTGTTTATCTTTTATTTCGAGTGTGAAAAAGATTTTAATTTGAAATAAATTCTTTCCCTTGAAATTTCAATCCATTACTTTCCAGTTCTCGGTGGCTTACTTTTCAATTTATTTTTTCGGTCCGAAACCTTTACAGCCAAGAGAAGAGGGACAGGTGTTCCCTTTCTCTAGTATCTTTTCTCCAACGGAGAAGAAAAGTATGAGGCCAATATATTTTTTTATTCTAATCGTAACATGATGCACCAATTGAGGGATGAGTCACTCCTTTTAACAGTTGGTTCGCACAACTCATCTCAGTAGATTATTCAAACACAATATAAATTCCCTTAGGAGATAAGTTTGAATAACGCCATAATGATTTTGCTCCGCACAAATCTAAAATAATTTACTTTTTGTTTCTTTACACCAATCTTTAATTTTCCCCCTTGTTCTCAATATCTTTCTTCCATTACAAATTAAAAAAAAAAGTTACTGCTATGTGTTAGGTGCACGAACACTGGCGGCAGTTGAATCCCTGCATATTAATAAATGAATGTCAATTGTTTCAATATATTGAGAACTCAGAATTTATTTCACTTTCGATACAATTTCCACTCTCATTTTGAATGCTAACATGAACTTATTCTGGAAACTTTCAGGTTCCCTCAAACAACGAAGCCAGTCCTGAACCTAAGGACAATAACGAAGAGGCCCCAACTTCAACGGAAGAAGAGCAGAGGAGCGATGAATCGAACGATTTGCAAAACGAAGAGAAGATGGAGCAAAAATCCACATCACCTGAGAACTCAAAAGCTGATGATGAAAATAACGAATCAAACAACGATCCGGAAAACAAATCCAACAAAAAACCAGACAAGATCCTTCCTTGTCCTCGCTGCAAAAGCATGGAAACCAAGTTCTGTTACTACAACAACTACAACATTAACCAGCCCAGACACTTCTGCAAGAACTGTCAGCGTTACTGGACTGCTGGTGGGAGCATGAGAAACGTTCCGGTCGGTGCAGGCCGTCGCAAAAGCAAGAGCTCAGCTTCCAATCAACACTTTCGTCACATCACTATCCCGGATTGTGTTCGAGCCGACTCTGAATTTGTTCATCATCTTCAACCTCTAAAATCCAATGGAATGGTGCTCAGCTTTGGCTCTGACGCCCCTCTCTATGAATCCATGGCTTCGGTGATGAAACTTGCGGAGAAAACAATGACAAATAAGAACCAGAAACTCGAGCAGGGTTCCCCGAACTCAAATGAACAAGCGAAAGTATCATCCGATTTAAATTGCTATGGAATCCCTCCAAATGTTTCCAACTTCACTGGAAGTCTTTTGCCTAACCAATGGGCGATTCCTCCATTTCCCTTCCCTTTCTATCCAATTCCTGCGTATTGGAGCATGCCATGGCTGCCGCCGCAGCTGCCAACTTCACCGAGCAGCGGGTGCTTGGGGAAGCATTCAAGAGACGGGAATTTATTAAACCAGAATCTGTCCGATAGGGGGCATGCTTCTGTACCTGAGAGTTGTTTTTGGGTTCCGAAGACAATGATGATTGATGTCCCTGAAAAGCTGCAGAGTGCTCAGTGTGGGCAACCATGGGATTCAGGAATGATAAAAGCTGATTTGGTAGGTGGGGGAATGGGGCTCTTCAAGGCCTTTCAGTCTGCTGGAGACCACAAAATGAATTCCACTGTGGTTCCTCAGTTCTTGCTTGCCAATCCTGCGGCACTTTCAAGGTCTTTCAACTTCCAGGAAAGATCATAGAGAGTTCCTGCTCATGGGGTGAGCGATTTGTAATTTGATTAAGTAGGTTGAGATAGTTTTAGTAGAAATTGACTGAGGAAAGAGGAATTCTGCTGGTTTCCTCTAATGCTTGATTTAGGTATGTTGGTTTGGTGCTTTTTTATATGCCTGTAAATAACTGTAATTGGTGAAAATATAGATATTAAGGGAATAAGTAATCTGAGAGTTTTCTGCAGAGTGTATCTCTAAGTCATAGTGCAAGTATTGCCTTTATTTTTCTGTTGATTTCGACATTGTTTTCTTATAGTTCTTTTAAACTCAATTCTGTTGTCTTCTGCGATTAAATGATCAGAGAATATTGGTTATAAGTTGGGTATCAGCTCTCAATTCAGAAGCTGAGATATGACTCCATCTATAGTTAGTAGCCCTACTGAAAAGGAATCACTTTTATATGTGTTGGGGATAATTGAAAGGATAAGAGGTGGTGTGGATACTTGAAGCATACGCTTGAATTCTTTTCCACTTGTAGGATGAATCATATATATGCTTATGCCAATCTTGAAATTTAAGTCATCTTAGATTAGGCCAAAGCCTTCCAACTTGTTCAGAAACAGAATTTAGTGCATTTACCTATGTTTAAAATTAGACGAATACTACAAGAGATCAGCCTATTACCGACGGTCTAAATCCGAAAATTCATACCTAAATTTCGTTGCATACGTAGCTGCCGGTTTTTCCGCCTGCTTTGAACACTTTTCCTATAGGGAAACTTATGAAAACATAATGAACGAGACAAAGCAGAACATCATAAAAAAGGCACTTCAGAATTTTATACAGATACACTCATGTGATGGCTACAGCTTGTTATCATTATTTTATTTTTTTCTATGCTTGATTGGGGAGAATTTCAAATTTAATGTAGAGATACATTAGAATAACTAAAAATACAATAATCTACTTATCATAGTTTCTTTTTAGTAAAAAGTAAGCTCCACAACTTAATAATTTGTATGTGTGCATGTAAATGTGCTTGGTTGAAATTGAGTTTTTAATAGTCCAAGCTCTCACTTCTCGAGTTATTGTCTGTTTTCGCTTAATGGTCTTACAGTTTTTTTTTTAATGAGTGTGACTACTCTAGCCGAAGCAAGTTTCAATGTGCTTTTAGATGGGATTCAATGCATTGATGTTGGTATGATCTCAACCGAACTCTCACATGTCGTGATATTGTCTGTGTTGTCCTAATGACCTCATAGTTTTGTCCAAATGGTGTAACATCTGAGGAGATCACCAATCCTAGGATTGCTCCGATATGGGCATACTTAACTTTGAAGTTTCTTTGAAACTCTAACCGTTAAAAAGTGCCTCCAATGTAAAAGTGTTCACCTGCATTTTATTTAAGTGGTTTCATAACCTCACCCCTAAGTAACTAACGTCTTCTTTAGTATTCTAACCCAAAATCATTCACCAGGAAAATAAGATTCTAGAAGTGATTCTTATAGATTCAAGAGTTGACTCTTACCATATAAAACTTCATTTTATCTCAGATTCCGAGGAGTGCTGCCATATGATTACATGTAACTTTGAAGTTTCTGTTGAAACTCTAACTGCTATACCAAAAAACACCTCAATGTTTCCAAGTTTGGCTTCATTTTACTTCAAGAGTTTCACACTAAGCAGGTGGAGGGAAGAGGTTTATTTCAAGTAGCTCATGATTTAAGAAAGGAGTGGTGCTGGTTACACTTACTGGAGTTCGTTGCCGATATTAATTGCCACGTATTAGTAGAAGAGTTCCAAGTCCATTTCCCCCCATAAAGAGCAGCAGTCAGAATCAGTGCTTGTAGAACATTAGAGACCAGTTAGAATTGATCATACTAATAAACGAGGAAAACAAAGCCTGGAAGAGGGTGACCCAGATTTAATCTTTATAAAAGAGAACAAAAGAAATGAATTTCTACCACAAAGGCCTACAGAATCGTCCTTTCCAAGAAAAAAAAATCTGGATGGTTGGCTGCCGAAGGTGAAGATAATTAGAAGATAACATTTCATGTTGTTTCCTATTGGAATTTAATAAATGGATGATATAAATCTTTAGTGTGAAAGCGATTTCAAAAAAGCCTTTTCACTTTTCCTGAGGTGATGGGGCAATTTCAGCCAAGTAATGGAACCCAAATTTCGCAATTATACATTATTGGTATTACAAAATTATTTAAAATTGTTAGTAATATGATGATGTCTTCAAACGTATCCGCGAGGAGAAAATTTTTATGTTTCATTTGTTGAGAAATTAAGGCAAAGAAAAAATAGGAATCAACACAAAATCAGAAGAAGACAGAAATTTAACGAGGCTCGACAAAGATGCGTACGTCATCGGGAGCAGAGCGGCGAATTCACTATTTCAGAGGAGTCCAGTACATGCCCATAGGGTAAGTGTTGAGAAATTTAGGGCAAAGAAAAACAAGAATCAACACAAATCCAGAGAACATAGGGATTTATGAGGTTCGGCAATGATGCCTACGTCCTTGAGAGCAGAACGACGAATTTTACTATTTCAGAGGAGTCCAGTACATACCCATAGGGTTGCACATCATATATATATATATAACCCACAGATAAAATTACTAACACGCCCTCGCTCCTCCCAACCTACTAAATTCCAAGAGACACCTCATCAATTCCAAGAGACACACCTGTTCATTCTAGGAGACACATATCTTCAATTTCAAGAGATACTCCTCTTCATCCCTCGGGGCACACATCTTTAATTCGAAGAGACTCCAAATTCTGGTATATGAGTCATACCTAACAAATATCCACCTTGGCGAATATCCAGCCCTTTAGGAGAAATGAGAAATACATATACTCAACAAATCTCCACGTTGGTGAATATCAAGCTCTTTAGGAGAAATACACATACCTAACATCTTTTCCTTTCTTCTAGGTGGCTTCTGCAATTAATTATCTATATAATGATATTCTTAGATTTATGCTTCATTTTCTTCGCTTGTGAGTTTATTCTAGATTTCAGCAAAAATTGGTGAATGCTATCGACACGTTTGCCATGATAATAGCCTTTTTTTATTATTAATGAATCATATATTATTCTCCCTCCATATACTTGGACTTATTTGAAGTTGAAGCCAATTTCATTCTCCCTCCACAGACTTGGACTTATTTGAAGTTGAAGCTAATTTCATAAATCTTAATGTCTTTATAACGTTTTGTTCTTTTTTTCTTTTCGTTTTTTACTTGGATGCTTTGGAGCCTCTCTTTATAATAAAATAGTATTAGAATATTGCTTTGAAAATATGGTCATGAAGTTTGAGAAAAGAAAATTTGAATGGACAAGTAATTTTGGTTTTTAAAGAATGAAGAAATATGAAATTTATGTCGAATAAAAATTTGGTAATTAAATTCATGTGTTATTTGAAGAACTCTGTATAATGAGCAAAAAATAAAATAAGCGCTAATAAAAAATCATTACTCAATTATGCATGAAAATCCTTGCGACTGTTCGAAATTAGGGTTCTTCTTCCTTTCTTTTCGGTTCAGTTGGTGGATCTTCTTCTCCGCTATGGTATTTTGAATCTCTCCATTCTAGGTTTTTGGATGACTTCTCTGATTCGTAATACCTTTTTATCGTATAAGGACGCGGTTACAGTTCGTAACCCACCATGTTCTTTTTTCCTTCTTCTTTTAGAGATCAGTTGGCTGAAAGTGATGCGGATGGACTATTGAAGAAAGCCTCAAAGAAAAACGGTAAACCGAAGCTATTTATTCAGGAGAATGATACTAAGATGTTGATAGATCCAACAAAATTTATTTTGATTGGTAAGTTTACTTTTGCTCATCCTCGATTTGAGGCTACAAGGAAATATTTTGCATAATATGGTTTATCGGGTCTTTGGAAAGTTGGACTTATTGATGGGAGAAATCTCATGATTAAGTTACAAAAGGAGGAGGATTATACTGCTATATTTTCCAAGAAATTTATCTTTATAGAAAAATGTCACATGAAGATTCTTAAATGGACTTTTGATTTTAATCCGATGGAAGAGCCTCAAATTGTGCTGGTTTGGATAAGATTTCCTGGTTTAAAATTGCATTTATTCAATCAGCAAATATTATTCTCTTTAGGTTCAATATATGGCAAACCTTTAAAGCTGGATATGGCTACTCTTCATTGTACAAGACCATCTGTGGCTAGGGTTCTAGTCGAAAGGGATATTACTACTTACTTTCATGAATCAGTTTGGATTGGGAGTGAAGTGAATGGATATTGGGAATCTGTAGAAATGGAGTTTGTGCCTAGTAACTGTACTCATTGCAAGATGTTCGGTCATTTGTTCACTCATTGCTTTAATGCTCATCCTGAATTACTTGGTAATAAAGAATTAAAGAAATCCAGAATGGAGAATATGAGTCATATGGACGTCTCTCGAAATCAAGAAATCCCGGTTGTCAATACAGAAAATTTAGAGCCTAATCAACCTACTACAATCATTAACGTGGGTATGAATCTTGATCCTGAAACTAACAATGATAACATTGCTATTCCAATGATTCACAAGATTATCTCTAACACGGATAATCTTGAGGGGAATCATGATGATGAAAGACATGTAACAAATGATGTAGGAGTTTCCATGAATGTTGAGAAATATATTGTGGAAACAGAAACATTTTTTTTGAATGACATGTTTTTGTACCGATGGGTCCTATGATGGATGATAGTCTAGTTCTTACTAGATCAGAATTGGAGGAAGGCTGGATGATTCAACGTTCTTTTAGAAAGCGTAAACTCAAAGGAAATAGATAACTTAGTTATATTAATCCAGAAGCTCTTATCATTTATTTAAATAATAAAGATGATCCTAATAATGGAGCCTTGCCAATGAGGCTAACCAGAGGTATGGTGATAAATGATGAAGATTAATACACTTATATGGAATATTAGAGGAATAGCTAAGACTATTGCCTCTAATAGACTGAAGCATTTGATTCGCACTTATAAATTAAATTTTTTTTGGTATTCTGGAACCTATGTTTAGTTCTTGTAACAATGATAAATATGTAAGGAAGATTGGCTTCTTCAATTATCTTGCTAATATTAATAACAAGATTTGGTTCTTATGGAAAGATTTTGTGAAGGTGGAGGTTCTCATTAATGATTATCAAATGCTACATTTGAAGGTTAATATTCATGAGGATTCTTTTCGTCTTTCTATTGTTTATGCGGGTTGCTCCAAGAAATCTAGATTGGAACT